GACGTACCTTGGGCGGACGAGTGGCTTGCGGCGAGATCTCGCGAAAGCCTGGATTTTCAGGTAGGGTGTGTGCCAACCTGGTTGGTGAGTCGCTCTCGCTGGGGTAGCGTGCCCATGTCGACCGACGAGGCAGGGGATTTCCTGCAGGATCTGCTAACGAGGGCGGGCACAGGCGCGGACGCAAACATGTCGATCGGAACGCACAGTTGTAAGGCGACTCTCCTCACATGGACGACGTGGTCACCCATTGTGACCTTCAGCCCTAAGGAGCAGCGTCATCTGGGACACCATCTCAAGAGGGGGCAGAGTACATTGGCCTACAGTCGTGAGTACTTTGTCACTTTGTGTGGTAAAGTTCTGGGGATGTACAGGACTATTAGAAGTGGGAGATTCAATCCAGACGAAAGCCCTTCCCAGCGTGCAGTTGCAATAGCAGATGGTTATGATCGCGAGGCTTCAGGGGAGATCTCTCCCGACCTGCAGGCGGTCTTTGGTGGGGGGCCGGGATCTGCGGCAGACCGCCGTCTGAATGACACTGAGCCCTTCGGAGACTCAGATGATGGCTCAGCCTCGGCTGAGTCTTGTGTGGAGAAGCCCGATGGAGCGAGGAAGCCACCGTCGGGGGGCCGCCTTCCCTTCGAAGCCGAGGACGACCGTGAGCTTAGGATCCATAGGCTGTCCGGCATCGTGCACAGAGTCAGGGAGGGAAATGTTTTAACTTGTGGTCGCCAAGTGAATGAACGCTATCGAGCATTCAGTGCGGACGACGAGGATGAACCCGAGGTCTGTCAGCAGTGCGCTCGAGGTTTGACTTGATTCTGCTTTGTGTGGAGCTAAACAGAGCGTTCGGGATGCGACTGAGCTGGCTCGTGTTCTTGTGTGCATGTGAGGGTTCAGTGTCTGACCAGATGTCTCCCCACATGTGCATGCAGACTTCATGAGTTGTTTGACATGAGGTTTGCGTGGGTACATGTTCAGAGGCGAGTTGCTGAAGATGTGAATTTGATCTTCCGCGGCAGCTCCGAGTCTTTGAAGTACCATGTTCATGTGGTAGGACATGTCGTGGTGAATTCTTGTGTTGTGTTTCCATTGATGCTAGAGATCAGTTCACGACTTGTGACGTCTCGGGGATCGGGTAAGTCTTCTGCACTCGTAGCCGCGGACTTGTTGCAACATGGCGTCGGCCACTCTGGACTCAACAGCGGTCTTTCGTGAGAGGTGCACTAAGTTCGGGCTTGCCCCCGAGTTGCTCCGAAAGATGATCGAGGCAGGCTTCGATACCTTCGGCAAGGTGGCATTCGCGGCCGGGGCAAATCCTGTGACGTTGACTGACAGTGCCGTCGACGAGTGGATCTCAACATTCGAGGATCCACTGCCAAGCCCGTTTCAGATTTCAGTCATCCGGAGGATTGTTTATGAAAGCCAGAATGTCAGCATTGCTGACCTAAAGGCTAGAGTAGAGCCGAGCACCGAGGTGCAAGTGCGCAAACTCCCTATGGCTGAGCGTTTGGTTAGACAGGAGGAGCAGGCCAAGAGGCTGACCGGGCTGCAGCTGACTCCGCACAACTTGCCAGGCCATGCGCGTGTAGACGAAGTCGTGAGCATGATTGAAAACAACACTTTGAAGTACCTGCCCATGAATCGCTGGATTAGCCGAAGTCAGGAGCTCGCTTTGCGCAAGAATGATCCAGCCGTCTCGTTGGACAATGAAGGTAACATAAAAATCAGTGGCAAGACCCCAGACTTGACTTGCGACACTTCGGGGCTGTATGCCCTCCGGCAAGCGTTCCAGAGGCGTGCTTTAGCGTTTGACTTGGCATCTAGCCACATTTGGGTGCATGGAGGCCTGGACGAATGACATTTTCGAGAGGACCCAAAGGGTTCCCCCGAAGGGCTATGCGGCGGTTAGCATTGGTCAGATCATTTCTGCGGACCGCGAGATGTTTGTGCAGGCGGCCCATAGGCTGGAAGGTAAGCTGCAGGGTGTGCCCTCAGGGACACGTCCATTGGACGGCGTGCTCAAGGAGCTCAGTGTGTCGCATGAGGTTATCCAGTACTTACTGCCGTTGGCAGCTGCAGGTGCCCCACCAAATCTTCCGCCGCCACCCAAGAAAGTGCAGGTGGACCCACCGCCTCCACCACCTGAGGATGCTACTCTTCGCGATCCGAGGGGCGGTGGT